CACTCTGGGCCTCCACTCCCAGGGGGAATAATGCAATCCTGATCTCTAGACCGGAGTGACTCTCAGCCAGAGTAAAACAGAAGGGTTTATTGAGCATATGAACCCAGCACAGACAACTCTCCGGGCCCTCAGGCCTAGCATCTCTCAGCACAGTACATCTAAGTCTGTCCCGCATCCAGGTGGGCTCTGGCTGCTCTCTCTCTGTCCAGTCCAGCAGCCCCCTCCTTCCAGCCGATCATCCAATATTATCTCCCCCCAACATCTCCTCCCATGTCCTTTGTCTTCGGTCCCAGGTAAACAGGTCACTGTGGCCTTTGTTCCCCTCTGGCTGGAACTGGTTGGTCAGGTCCTCTCTCCTCAGCCCTTTGTCCTCCCACTGGCCAAAACTGGCTGACTGCCAAGCTGTGCTGGGCCTCTTAATCACCCCCAGCCCCTGGATTAGAGCCTCCTTCAGTTCACAGAGTGCCCCCGGCACTGTTAGGTCCAGACCACCTTGTCTGGATTGCCCAAATTACCAAGCTTCATAATGGGAGCTAAAGTGGGTTACAAAGCTTCAGTAGTACCCTGCCATCCCATTAGAGACCTGGGCCTGTTTCTCGATTTGAGGAATGGCCAATCTCTGGTTACCTTGACTGGTTCTGGCTTTAGCAGATGCTTCCCACCTTGTGGCCCAGGTATGACACATCTGCCATCCTCATCTTACCTTTTCCGGCCTCTACCATCCATCCTGGAGGCGTCCCAGGCTGCTCTTCACTGGGACACTTGATTCTCCCAGGTTGGGCTGAAGACACAGACATCATGAATGTATACATTTTAAATTAATGGAGATATCCCATCTCCTAGAACTGGAAGGGACCTTGAAATGTCATCAAGTCCAGCCCCCTGCCTTCACTAGCAGGACCAAGTACTGATTTTGCCCCAGATCCCTAAGTGGCCCCCTCAAGGATTGAACTCACAACCCTGAGTTTAGCAGGCCAATGCTCAAACCACTGAGCTACCCCTCTGATGGTGTAAGTGCCCCCAGATGACTTTTCCACACTGCTCCTCAAAGGAGGATGCTCATGGTGGAGTACACAAGGCAGAGAATGGCAAATGTTGAGACCTTGGAACTGGAGTTCTGGCACCTGGGTGCCTCACTTTCATAGGCTCTTCTAAAAGTCCCAGCCCATAACACTTCATCAACACAGGGGCTCTTCTCTTAGCATCTCAAAATGCTTCATTGAAGCCACACAACCAGACCCCCTTGTCAGAAAAGGAAACTGAGGCACAGAGAGGAGACATGGCATGCATGGGTCACCCAGAGAGCAACATCCCTAGAGTCAGAACCCAGCTGGTGTTGAGTTCTAGGAGGTTCCCCTGTGTCCTGCTCTAGACCTCCATGACCCTCCAGTGGGCCATGTTTGAACTGGCTCACACTCCAGTGGTGCAGGAGCAGCTGCGGGCGGAGATCTTTGCGGCCAGACAGGCAGGACAGGGTGATATGCTGAAGATGTTGAAAGCCATCTGGCTGCTCAAAGCTGTCATCAAGGAAACACTCAGGTAAGAAGTTTTCCTTTTCAAGATAGTGTAATCAGTTCCTGACCCCCACCACTTTCTACCCAGATGTGGGTCCACAGATGCCTGCCTTCTCTCTATGGGAGTTCAGCCTGGTACTTAGGTACTTATACAACCCCCAGCACTAAATTTAAATTTTAAATTTAAATTTTAAAATAAATTTTAAAATTTAAAATTTAAATTAAATTAATTTTTTTCAATTTATGCCAGGGCACAGTCCTCCACCCCCCTCAGTAACTGATTCTCTGGGCACTGGGAGGTGGCAGGCACCCCCTTGAGGCCAGAAGGTAGGACCAGGACCTCAGAGCCCTATAGGGCTGATGGGAGCAGATTTCAACCTGGCAACTGGGTCCAAAGGCACCTGCCAGTAGCCCCTGGTGAGATTCGCAGTAGTGAGGTAAAGCCCCCTCCACACACACACCTTGTCTAGGAATTTTTTAGTCCTAGGCATGGGGCAGGCATTGAACATGGTGATGGCATTGAGCTTCCAATAGTGCACACTGGGTCTGATCGACCCATCTTACTTGGGGACCAGCACCATTTATGGGCCATTCACATGCTCACTGGCTCCTGCCCTCTCCATCTTCCGATCTCTGGGGTCAGCTCTTTGGCTGTTACTGGTGCAGGGACCGGATCCTGTCTTAAAGAGACACAGTCACTTCCCAAGAGTACGTCAAGGCTGACGTGCTGAAGGATCCCAGGAGGTGAATGGCTGCTGTCTAGGAGCCTTCCCCCAAGTTACATGGCCCCTCAGCAGCTGGTGAGGTTGCACCACACCCATAAGAGTCCCCGAATCTCTTCACCCCGTGAATGTCTTCCCACTGACCCCCACCTGTGGTTCCCCCTGGGGATCAGAGGGGCCTGAGCCCAGGAGTCACAAGCAGACATATCTGCTGAGCTTGGAGTGGAAGCCTGTGTCCCTTCCCCCTCCCCTGGCCAGCTCTGCCCCAGGAGCTGTCTGGGTGACTGCTTCCCAGCTCTCTCTCTCAGCCTGCATTACCAGGTGACCTCCTTGTACGTAATGCCCAGGGTTTCTCATACACCCCGGAATATTTTCCTGTCTGCCTTAGGGGTTTATTCAAACGTAAGTGGCAAAGCCTGTTTGAACCTTTATAGTCCCCAGTCTCTGCACCATCCATTTGGCTGAACACCTGTATGGCCTTGGGACCAAGCGGGGTGTGTGAGACAGCTGTGCCTGTCAACCTAGTTCAAATCACAAGCCTTCTCACAGGCAGTGAGGTCGGCATCAATATACCTCCCCCATTATACCGGGGCACACTTTGGAATCTAGGCTTTCTGCCAAATTGGCATCTTGGGGTCTTTCCCCACTTACCCCATAGGAGGTGCTCTTGGCCTGCCTCTCCTCCAACTCCAGTTCATGTTTTCATTGCTCCAAGCAGTCACTTAGCCTCTGCTCCTCCAGCTCCAGCTCCTTAGCTCTCAGCTCCAGATTTCATCTCTTCATATCCACTGTGGTTGGGAAGCCCTCCTCCTGGTTGGGGAACGGGGTATGGTGGACCCCCTGCCACTACCCCAACTGCCCCCCTGCTACTCCCAGGCTCTCCGGGCATCCCAGAACCCTGCTGGGATCTGGAACTTGCTCCTCAGACTGGTCATTCTCTACCAGCCAGGCAATCTACACCTCCTGGGTGAGCCTCCCAATGCTCAGCCCTTGCTCCCTGACCAGACATGCAAACCAGCTTTTAGGGAGCTGGTTCTAGGCCCTTTCCTTGCTGGTTCCTTCAATTCCCTTGTTTTATCACTGGCAGGCAACCGTCTACAGGGTGCATCCACCAACAATCCTCTGCTACCAAGTTGTCAGGGACTCACAGGACTTATGCTCTCGCCCGGCTCCATATGGTCACTGGGAGGAACCCCCTTCATTGCAACAGCCCTTCTCGGGGGTCCGCTCTCTCTTGGGGGATAAGCCGTAGGCTTCTCCACCTCTCTGAGCCTTCAGCATGCCTGTCTCTCGCTTGCAGCACACAGGGAAACTGAGGCATGCACACACAATTCATGTAAAACACTACAAAAATCTCCCAACTTCATCACACCAGGCTAGTTTGATCCAGCTAGCAGGCTAAAAACAGCAGTGTAGCCATGGCTTCCTGGGCAATGACTTCAACTAGCCCCCATGTATACATACCTAGGATTTCAGATGGGCTTGTACTTGGGGCAGCTATTGTGTTGCACTGTGTTGCCAAGGCTGTGATGCTATTTTCTGCATGCCAGTTTGATCAGAATCAGCATGATATGGCTATCCAACCTGCAAATTACACCTCCAGATCCAGACATAACCTGGGAAGTTCAAAGCACTTTACAACCATGCATGAATTTAGCCTCACATCCCCTCCTAAGGTGACCAGATAGCAACTGTGAAAAAACAGGACAGGGAGTGGGGGGTAATAGGTGCCTATATAAGAAAAAGTCCCTTTAAAAATGGGACATCTGGTCACCCTATCCCCTCCTGTTAGGTAGGTCAGTCATGTTAGCCCCATTCTACAGATTGGGAACTGAGGCACAGAGAGGCATCACTTTACCACAGTCACACGCGGAGGTGGGATAAGAACTGAGCGCAATGCTCACCGGGATTTGCAAGTCTCTGGTTAGTGACATCCAAACGCAGGCTGTTTTCTGGTTTATTATGGACACCACCCAGACTCCGAGTCAAGCAGAGACCAGGCAAAATGTGGTAATTTTGAATGAGCTTTGCTTTATCTTTCTTTGGGATTTCTGAATCCAAAACTCTGAGAAATGCAAGACATGCCAACTCTGTGAGAAATGACACCCACAAAAATGGTACCTTACCACAAAATTGCTGATTTCCCCATCATTCTCACAGCAATTGAGCCAACTGTAACATGAGGCCAGCAGTAATAGAATGTTAATAATTTGACTCTAAGCACCTTCCAAATTCCCAGTCATGGCCATTAGATTCTGCTACCTTACATTTCCTCTTACAGTTACAATTGGAAGGTGGTGTGCCTCACTGCCAGGCCTAAACTCAAACCTGAAGCTACTGTGTGTGGTATTGCTGTGTGTTGTTAAGGAGCAGGTGACATCTACTTCAGAGGTGACTGCATTTTGGAGATGGGAATAGGATCCAAATTTTGATCTCAGTTACACTTCCGGAGTTCCCCCTAACTTCAATGGAATTGTACCTGCTTGCACCAGCATTGCAAGTGCCTCTTACCTTATATTTGCACTCCTAGGGGGTTGAGAGGTTGTTTATGTCTTCAAGGGCAGGTGCTATCATTGTGGTTAGCTTTATGGAAGCCATGATCACTATAATGCCTGCTCCAAAGACCCACCAGTGACAATACATTGTAGTACAAATTTGTACCAAGGTGTGAAAGAAGTACTGTGATGCTGGCAAGAACCACTGGACCTGTCAGTGAAAATACCACTAGATAGGTACCATTGTGTTAAAAATTGTCAACCACTGCTTTCTGCTTTCCATTTATTGGGATCACATTGTCATTGCTGGTGATTTTTTTTCCAGTGACAACTCATGTAATGGACTCAAGGAAGATATTTTAGAACTTAGCATGTGAACACAACAATATCTGGTGAAGTTCGGCTAGGTGATGATGTACCAAGAACCACTCAAGGGCAAACAATACATGTTTTAAGAAAAGATGGGAACTGGAAAGTCCATTTCTCTTTCGGCCATTGTATTACAGGAGGAGGGTGGGGAAGGTGCAGTTACTGGAAGGCACTGGAATTGCACTCAGGAGAGATCCGCGGGATGTCTGTGCAGTTGGAGAATAGTTAGAGAAGGACCTGGGAAGTGTGGTTGAAATGCTGGAATGTTGAGGGCTCCCAGTCCCCATAGGAAGTACCTGTTGGCATGCCAAATTCACATGTGAGATGCCCTGATTTCACATGCCAAAGAGACACCTGGACATGCCAGCATCCTGCTCCTCATCATGTCCCCCGGCAGCAGGCCTTGACCAGTCAGAGCGAGAGGTTCCAGGATACGTGTTCCAAAGCTGCCTTTCTGGCTGGTGATGTGGCTAACCCCCGTGCCATGCTCTGCCTTGGCTATGTGCTATTGCTTTGCCCCCTGCACCTGGCAGACCACTGGAGGCCCTGTTCATCTGTTTAGTTTTAAAGTCCCCCACCCCCTTTCCTCCCTCCAGGCTACAGCTGATATTCTCCACCCCCCAACAGGCTGGGCTCACATCACAGGGGTGGCAAAGGGAAGGGCTACTGAAGAAGGGGCAAACCAGACCAGATGTCCTTGAAGGGTCATGTTCTCATTTGAAATTGCCACCCCTTAAAGCAACAAGGCAGACGGCACCCCTTTGCTGCCATGGGACATGGCCACTTCCCATTGAAGTGCTGCCGTTCTATTGGCTCTGCAAATCAACACCCCTCGTACTGGGGGCAGCACCTGAGGGGCCTTTTCCGTATCAGGTACACTCAGCAAGTCAGCCCCAGTGGCAAGCATGGCTCAGGCAGCACCTGCTAACCTGCATGCTGTGCTCAGAGCTGGTATGGGTGCAGCCCCGGCTGTCACCTGTCTACTAAACCTGCCACACCCCAAGGCCAGTTAGGTATGGGGGCTGCCCTCTCGGCCAATACTGGGGACTGAACCAGGGACCTAACAGCCAACAACCCAAGTCTCTACAGTGCAAACTAAGAGCTGGTCCAGCCCCATTCCCTCTGCAGATCGGGATGCGTAGCACTCACCGACTGGGGGCTAACACCTGTTGCCAGCGGAACGGCACTAGTGACAAGAATGAGTAGCTTCTGTCACTGCACAAGTGACTTTGGCTGCAAGGATCTGGAGCCCAGTGGCTTCACACGAGTCCTTGCGGACATGAGGAATAGCAGCCAGGGCAAAGGGCCCTCATGGCCATGTGCTGCTGCTGCTCTCATCACTCGTACTAGCTGGGCACCTCACCTTGCGGGGCTAAGTCTAGCCTGGTGGGCCATTCCAGGGGTCAGAATCATCCCTGGTGAAACTCTGCTGAAGTCAATGGGGTTACCCCAGGGATGAATTTGGCCCATGATGTTTTGCTTCTCTACTCAGGACTCCCTAGGGGGCATAGGCTGCATAGGCCAACAAAGTGTCAATGCACCGTGTGTGCAGTGGCCCATTCCCCCACCTCTAAGGCTGCCACTCGCTCTATTGCAGAGTGCGTTTGGCTTGGTTACACGTTCAGATTTCCTCCTGGTCTGCGGACTGACTGTGGGAGCCATCTTCAAGGGATGTGCAGGCTGGTGCTTTCTCACAGTCCCAGTTTCGGTTTGGCATCACCACCCCAACTAAACTGTGTCTAGCTCCATGTGGAATGTCCCACACATAAAAGGAAGTGGACCACAGGTAAAGGGAATGTCAACCTCCACGAACATCACACGCTTGGAGGGTGAAACTGATCCAAATTGGTCCTTCGGGCATAGCTGATGTGCTATACAGCGGGCAGCGTTCCATCATCACAGCCAAGGATGGAGTTCTTCACCCACCCTTCCAAAGAGACGGAGGCCACCTCTGCTGGGTATGAATTCAGTCCATGTCACACCCTTCTTCCCCCCACCCCAGCAATGCAATGTTCCAAGACACTACTGCCTGGGGGGAGAAGGCGGGGAAGGGAAGATACAATAAGCTCAACACCAGCTGTCATCTAACTGTGCTTGGAACACTGCAGAAGTGATCATACAAGGGACCAGCAAAAATCAGCTGCTGAAAACATGTTGAAAGTCAAGCTAAACTGCCTTGGAACCCTTGGGGAGAGATACGTACAGATGGTCATCAAGATGGGGAGGAGATAGGGTTGGGTGGCGGGGGGTGACCTATTGGGGCAGGGTTCTGGGCCAGATTCAAAATCCCCAAACCCCAGTGCCCTGTGATAGAACCCAGAGTTAGCGCTTCTCCAAGCTTTGATCTGGGCTTCACAGACTGGATCCTATCACTTGGCCAAGCATATCCCTGAGCTCTGACTGGCATAGGTATTTCCCATGGCCATCCAGTCTTCAGTAACAGCACTTGGGGGTTGAGCATCAAGCATTTAATAAAGATCTCCAGTAGACCCCCTAGGAGAGCTCTGTTTCGGGGGGTGGGGGGTGGGTGGGAGACCAGACAGAACATTCACAGTCTTTCCCCAGTACTGCCAATAAGTCCATCTTGCAGAAGGTGCTAGGGCAGAGGATCAAGCGTTTGGTGCCTCTTGATATGTGTTGTGGGGTCTGGTGAAGTTTTCTGTGTAGGAGAAGAGCACGAACATCAGGGGATATTCCTGGAATCTTAATCCACCTGTCTCCCACTTCCTTTGAGCCCTTACATTCCTCTGTAATGGCAGAGTCCTTTTTGTCCAGTGCCCCATCTCGTGGTTCCCAGTGTGTGCTCTGTGGGCTAGCCCTGATGCTACCTGCTCCCTCCTCCCAAAGCTTTAACAAGGAGATTCTGGGCTGGACCCTGTATGCCATTCAGTAATATGCTCGCCCACCTGCTATGCTGAAAACCCCATGTCTGTGGTCCAGAGCAGGCTGTGGTGGATGACTGTCCACCCAGCTGAACGGGCAGGGGCAGATTATACTCAGTCTTACCCCAATCAACAAATGCAGCCACCCTACAAGATTGGGAAGTCACAAGTCTGACAACAGCCCCCCTGTGATATGGGGAGAGGTCAAAGGGCTTAGGTGAAGTGGGCCCTGGCCAACCAGGAGTGATGGAGCCTAAGAGCGTGTGTGTGTGGAGGCTAAAAGAGACTGCTGCAGTCCAGAGAGCAGATGGGCGTGTCTGATAACGGAGGGTAGCCCTGTCCCAACCCTGCACACTGCAGGGACACAGGTGACTCAGAAATTTGTTGTGACCAGCTGTTCAGGCACCAAAATTTAGACCAATGATCTGCCTCTGTGGTGCAGATGGGTGGAGTTAACCCAACAGTCCTTCCCACAGCAGCGGACTGGCTGGCTGTGAGGATCCACTCTCTTTCCTGCTCTTCTTCCACCTTGGCTTGCTCTGCCTGGTTCTCCTCTTCCTCCCCTCCTCTTCTGGGAGTGTATGGAGGGGGCGTGATACTGAGCTAGTGTAACCCACACACCTCCTGGGTGTGGTGTTCTGTCCCATCTAGTGGCATCGAAACCACTTAGAGGGAGATATAAAATGAGTCTGCTCTACAGCCTTCACTAAGAGGCAGCTGGCTTTTAGCTCATGCGGTAGAGGCTCATGCACTAAGCTCCACAGGTCCCTGGTCTGATCCTGTGCACCGACGACTGGAGTCTGTCGACATTATACTAGCACAAACCAAAGAGACTTTCAGCCTGGATATGCTTGTGGGGAGGGGAGGTTCCTTGAGCAATTTCTGTGCCCTAGACAGAGTGTTGAGCCCTTACATGGTCCCCTGTCCTGGCCATCAATCTTTGGCTAAGGAAAACTAGATGGATATTTTTAGAGACCAGTAACGTGGCTCTTACACCAGCCAGATGGACAGTGGCCATGGCAGGAGGGTGAGCAGCTGAGTATGGGAGGAATCGGACTGTAGCTGGGTGAGCCCAGCTTGTGGGCTGGCCGGCATGGCAGGCATGTCACTGACCAGTGAGAAATCATGCAGGATGGTGCTGGATGGGCGCCCAAAGCCATGCTCTTGCTCCAGGAGCTGGGTGCTGAGGTCCTGCTTCTCCCGCCCCCATTTCCTCGCAGACTCCTCCAGCTGCGAGGGAGAGAACAGATACTCAGCGCACTATGGTAGTGCTGGCGTGCCTGCCCTCTCGCCCTGGGTTTGCTCTTGAAGGCAGTGGTGGTGCACGGCCCCACCACTCTGCTCACTGACACATGGGAAACTGACTAGTGCATTTCAGACTGCTGACGTGTGGGCTCCCCATCCAAGCCACATATTCCCCAGCTGGCAGCTTCCCATCACCTATACACTGCCATATACAGCAAAGCGCTGCTGGAATTAGGGGTAGCTTGGAGAATATGAAAACATGGCACCTGGGCAACTGGGTCTTTGAGGCCACACCCAGGGGGTTCCTGTGAGGCCCATTTCTCCTCATTAGTGCTGATTTGGGGACTTGCTAGACCCATGGCTGCAGCCTCCCTCAGGGGTTTATTTGTGGGAAAGCCTGTGAAAATGCTCAATGGAGGGAGGCTGAGGGGAAAGGGAGCTTTTGGGTATATCTGCTTTAAGGCCTTGACGCTGCTCTTCTGAGCTCTCCATGGGCTGGGCTATCTCAGAAACGGATGCCTCTCTCTCCATGTTGTGCTCCTGAGCGATTATGAGACTCAAGGAGAAAACTAGGATGAGATTGATCTTTTCAGCGGCCAGTGCTTGACTGTGGAACTCCTGTCCACAAGAGTTACAACTGACCAGCAACTGATCGCCTTCCAGGCCAATCGCAAGAGTCAGATCTTCACCAGCCAATAAATCATAACAAGTCCTACCCTCCACTGGGAAAGGAGCAGAGATGAGACAATGCTTTGTCTGCATCTAGCCCCTAATCCACCTGTGATCATGTATATAGATACCTCGAAGGAAACACCAGTTTCTGGGGGCACACCAAGGGGTGAGTCAGTGCTCAGGGTTGTCAGAGTTCATTCTCATTCATGCCACAGGACCACGCAACGGGTGGAGATTGGCGATGGGATGTGTGTACTAGGGGGATGACCTGTGAGAAAGGGCATGACAATTACCTGGCTTTCCAGGGCACGGATGCGACCTTGCGCCTTCTCCACCTTGGCCAGCAAAGACAGCTTCTCTGAGTTGGTGGAGAATATGTCCTGCAAACAGATAATGCAGCTAGGAAGTGAGATTTAGAGACTCTAGCCCTTCATCCCCTTCCCATCATGACACAGGCTGCCAGTGACCCCTTTCCCCCCACCATTCCATGGAATCCATATAATGGGAGTGCTGATGTGAGGTCGTGGTGGGGGCAGAAAAGCCAGTGCTGAGCAGGCCTTGGATCTGTAGAGGCTGTGGTGAAGGCGGCTTTTCAAATACAATATAATATTGCATTGCAGTAGTGGCTAGAGGCTCCAATCAGCAGTCAAGGCCCCATTGTGCCAGGCACTGTACAAACCTGTCAGCAGAAACAGTCCCTGTCCCAAAGCATTTACAACCTGATTGTGACACTGCACCCCCATATTCTTCATAGTGATATTATCATATGATTATAACATAATTATGATGCAGTTTGTACAAAATAAGTCATGTGAGATGTCACTGGAAAAGTTATGATTTGCTGAATATGATTATCCTATTTGTATGTATATCATTTTTGTATCTAAAGTTATGAATATTGACTATGTATCTGTATTTCAAATGTAGTTACACCTGGATAACGCCCACTAGACAAGATGCGTTCAGGCTAGATAGCTGGTTGGGAAGGGCCTACTCAGGGCAATGAGCCATTAGGGAGAACAATAGGCCTCAGTAGAAGCTTATCTCCCACCTGGTGAGTCTTCCTGAGAACTCTACAGACAGCCTGAGAGTGATGGCTGCTATGACTCTACAAGGACATGTGACCAGGCCACATGAGGCTGGACTCCATCTTGGGATGTCAGTATTTTCCCACAGATTGGTCTGGGAATCAAGCTTTGGAACAAAGGGTTCCTACTATATGCAAAAGGTATATAAGGCAGGGAGTGACATCATCGGGGCAGGATTCTTCACTCCCCACACAAGAAAACTCCTGGAAACACCTAAGGAACAAAGACTGAACTGGGGGAAGTGCTGGACCCAGCTAAAGGGATTTCTAGCCTGTGTATGAAGACCTGAGAAACCCAAGTTGTAAAGTTAATGCAGCTTGTGCCTTAAGAATCTGTAGCCTGCCTGTACCATCAATCAGGGTGAGAATCTGTTATTCATAGCCAATCTATTTAGTATATTAAGCTTATTTTGCATTTTTGTTTATTTACTAGGTGATCTGCCTTGATCTGTTTGCTATCCCTTATAATCACTTAAAATCTAGCTTTTGTACCGAATACATTTATTTTGTTTTAATCTAAACCAGTGAGCTTTGACTGGAGTGCTTGGGGAAAATCTCTGTTTGGTTACCACAAGTGGGCATTGTTCTCTTCACATTGAGGGAGAGGAGGACCAGGTGTAAAACCCATATACTGGCCAGATTTGACCAGTGGAGGATGGTTCAGCTCTGGGGTCCCAGGCTGGGAAGCTGGTGGTTAGAGAGCCTGCGTGTAACTGCAGCTGGGTGTGTCCTTACCTAAATTCCCTCTAAGCTGTACAGTCCCTCCCCTGGCCCCAACCCAGCCCAGCCCCAGATCTGCCAAAGCAGGGGAAGAGGTCCCCCTTCCCTGGCCCCAACCCAGCCCCAGCCGAGACCTGCTGTGGCCGGGGTAGAGGCAGGTCCAGCCCCGGAGCTGCCATGGTGGGCAGAGGCGACCCTCCCCCCCAGCCTAGGTGCTGCTGCTGCTGCAGGGAGAGAGAACTGGGGGGAGTCCTCTCTTCCTGCTGTAGCCCCAGGCAGTCTGAACTCAAAACCCCTCATCCCTGGACCCACCCCAGAGCCCGCACCCCCAGCCGGAGCCCCACGGACCCCAACCCTCTGCCCCAGCCCTGAGCCCCGTCCCACACTCCAAACCTCTCGACCCTTGCCACCTGAATTTTGTTATGTGCACCAATATGGAGGTGATGTGTCACACATCACCTTCATATCGGTGCATATAACAAAATTAATTCCACACATGCGTGGGCAAAATTAGAGGGAACACTGGTCCGACTCCCAACCTGTGTGAATGCTGGTGAATGTGCAGGTTGGAGGGTTTTGCAGCTTCTCACAGCAGTACAGTGTGAGAGGGAGCCCAGACTGGTGGGTCAGGGGGCTCAGTGGTACCCCAGTTTCAAATGGCACCCTGGGGGGAACCTGTCACACTGATAAAGCAACCAAACTGCCAGCCACAGTGTCCTGCACATGAAGTGAATCACTCCCACTGGCTACCAGGGGACCCTCCCCATGGCGTGGCCCCAAGCTGACCCATCTCACCGGCAAGGCTTGCTGCTGCAGGATGATGGGGGAAGAGCGGTAGTGGGCTCTGCCCAACTCCTCCCGCAGTCTCATGTTCTCAGCTAGCAGGGTAGAGTAGAACTCCTTGGAGAAGCTATCAGCTGGGGGAGAAGAGCAGAGAAGCCGCTCAGACCTCTGCTCAGCTCCATACCCTCCAGCACTTTCACTACCCACCCCCTTCCAGGGAGAGGCCAGGTCATTTCACCTCTCCTTTGCCCCTGCCAGCCTACTATAGTGGAATCAGAACCTGTCTGTGAAAGGGAGCACCCTGGGCAGGGCCGGCTCTAAGTTTTTTGCTGCTCCAAGCAAAAAAATGTTTGCCCCCCCGCCCCCCTTTTTTGTGTGTGGCTTTTACACGTTTGCACTTTGCAATGGTTTTGTTGTTGTTGTGTTGGTTTTTTTTGACTGGGGTGCGGTACTGATGCAGCATTGGGCAACGAGTGCATCTGAATCTGCTTGAGCCGGGTGTATCTGCCTGAATTTGGTATAAATAAAAAGGAGCTGAAAAACCCCATGGGCCACTAGAGCGCTTGAGTAATTCGTGCTGCCTGTAATATGTGCGGAGGGGAAATACAGAATAGACAGTGACATTTCAGAGACTTAAATCACCACTTGCTTTGCTGCCCCGGTGTCACGCCTGGGTCTCTTGAAGGAAGGCTACAGGGTTGTGCAGCCGCAATCGGAGACAGCCCTTGGCTTTCCTGGGCACGTTCCGTATTTCAGTCTTACTAGGAGCTCGGCTGTTGCTTCTGAGCGCTTTCTGCTACTTTCACTCATTTAAAATGAGCCTGAAGTCTCCCACATCATTAAGTGAAATGGGTAAGGAGCACGCTGGAGAATTGCCTGCTGTCTGACAGGTGCTAATTCCGACTCTGCCACTTGATCAAAGGGTCGGGTCATTATCTTTAAAAAGTTGTGCCTGAATGAAAGGATTTCTCCCGGCTCAGATTCGTTTCCAAGGGGGCATGGGAGGGAGAGAAGAAGGGGGAAAGCCGGGCTAACCCTTGAAGAGGTATTTCATGGCACACTCTCCCAGTGCATCTCCCCGAGCCCCACCAGCTGTACTGCAGGGTTACCGGCCCTGGTAAGTTCTCGGCGGCTTTCTTGTTGTTTCTCGGGGAACTCGGGCTGTAGGAACATGAAGTTGCTCTTGGTGAACTCCAGGGCCAGGCAGACTTTGTAACAGTAGCCCAGAGGGCTGCTGCCTGCCACATCCAGGCAGTTGGTGGGCACTTTATTGCCTGAGGAGAGCTGGGGCTCGATGTTGGAATTTTTGAAGACGTCAGCGGGAATGCCGCCCCTGGAAATGTGCCACCCCAAGCTGGTGCCTAGAGCCGGTCCTGACCCTGGGTACAGCAAGGAGCTGGGGGCTTTACGCTTCCCTGACTGGGGGCTCTGCTTTTCCCTTCCATAGGGCCAGACTTCATGTGGAGTAGCAACTTACTCCACAAGTAGCCCCATTGGTTGGTGCTGCCCAACATGAGTAAGGGAGGGAGCAGGGTATGGCCCTGAATGATGAGCCTCTCTGCTGGGTCCCTATGAGCTTCTCCCGCCTGCCTCCCATGTGGCCAGTTGAGCTGTAACTTGGGCCACTCCCTCCCCTCCTGCATCACTCAGGAACTACCTGGCTCCCAATAAAACAGGGCCCAGCCCAGCCCCCTGGCTCTCAGAGAGAGAGAGAGGAGGGGGGGGCATTTACCCAACAGTTGCTCACAGGTCCTAGTAGCCTCTGGCACCTTCTCCTCCAGCATGCGCTCCATCTTCTCAATCACCTTTGGAAGGCAGAAATTCAGTGGAGAGGGGAGCTCCCATCACAGCCCCTGAAGGCCCACATAACCCTTGCAGCAACAGGGTGCTGCAGAGAGTTGGGGCCTTGGCTAGACTAGATTTGGGGCATGTCGTTACCACATGGTCACTAACAGGGTCTAAACTTCTAGTCTGCAGAAGGTACGTTGTCTTTAACTCATGCTAAACAGGCTGAGGTGAAGCCCAGAGGGGAGCCTAGGTTGGCACATTAAAGGCAGTGTGGCCTTAGCAACACTAGACTTCTAAAATGTGTGAGTCACACATGCTAACACCACAACCTTAGTCTGGACAAGGCCTAGCTCTGCAATGCTGTTGCTGGCCTTCCCTCCTGTTCAGCTTGCTTCACTGTTCCCCAGCTGGCGGGGACTGTGTATGGGCCACAGATAATGGACCTCATGTCCTTTAAGGGTGTGTCTACACTGCACATGGGCAGGTCCACATTTAAAATGCTGCAGAGGCACAGAGCATCTCCTGTCAGCCTAGTTAAGCCACTTCCCCGAGAGATGGTAGTTATGTGGGTGGGAAAAACTCTCCTGTTAACATAGTGCTGTCTATGCCAGGAGTTAGGTCGGTCTTTAGGCATTTCAGCTGTTATGTAGATGTTTTTCAGCAGGTACACTAAAACAAATCCTTCCCCCCGCCCCCCCAGATTTGAAAGTATCTTCCTTCCTCATTGGTCCTTCTGGTCAGGTGCCAACTAGGTTATTTGAACTGCTTAACCCTTTACAGGTAAGGCAATCCAGTACAGCTGCCAAGGAGGGATTTTATGCTACTGCATACATAAAGGTTGCTACCCTTCCCCCTATATTCATGACAGGGTGACAAAGGGGGAGCAGATGGAGGCAGGAAGATCCCACCCTGCTAGTGAGACCATGGGGCCCAGATCCTGTGGGCCTGGTTGATGCTGACAAACACAACACCAGGGCAGGTCCCTGATGGTTTGCTTTGCTGTGGCTTGTTGCAAGGTCTCCCTGTAGGGAGTGCACTATGAGCACAGGGCATGTTGCCCCAGCATGGAAGAGGAGCAAAGCCCTGTGGGACGCCCAGCTGGGTACTCTCCCCTGCACCCTCCCATGCACCTGTGCTCTGCTCACCCTCTCCTGCTGCCGTACAGTATCCTCCAGGGCTTTCATCTTGGTGATTTTCTCATGGTACTTCCTCAGCACCGTCTGCTGTTGCTGATGGGCTCGTTGCAGCATCACCAGGTCCTTCTCCCGGTCATTCTTCTGGTGGGTGAGAGGGGAGAAAAACCATCAGATCCCTCGGGGAGTGAATCAGAATGCACAGGGGATTCTTTACTGAGGTGGATGGACACAGGCAGACCTGTGGTTCTCTCTGGCTCCCAAGCAGTCGCTGATTGGGCTGCGGAACTATGGCAGGGTGTGACCCAGACTGAGCTGCCAAAGCTACTGGAGTTCACCTGTTACTCCACTCTCCTCCCTTGGTCAATCAGGGTGGCTGCAGGGTTAGGAGAGGAGGGTAATCAGCGGAGAACTCAAACTACAGCCCCAGTCTCCAGGAGCTTAGTGAGACTGTCCAGGGGTCTGGGAATATTTGCTTCTCCAGATGGCTCCCTAGCTCCAAGCTGCTCGCCCCCTGGGCACCAGGCTGACCTCTCTTTGTCTGTGTTAATTTCCACCTGTAACCAGGAACGTGCTGCTCCTAGCGTGTGGCTCTAAAGAGTGGTGGTCTCCTTTCTCCTTTGGAGGGGAAGACCCCCAGCATGGGACAGCAGGATAAAGGCAGAGGGTGTTGGCTCTGCAGCACAGATGACTTTCATATTTAGACTGGCATCTCGCTCCGCAGGCTAGGGCTGGGGAGCAACCTCTGATGTCCCACGTGCTAAGCCGTCTCCTTTGTCAAACTCCCTTCTTGCATGCAGCCTTCTTCAGAGCTCTTCTCACTAGGGAGAGCCCAGATCCTTGTGCTTGTGCCCTGGGCATCGTATCTGTTTGAATTAGACCCTGAGGCCTTCAGGACAGGAGCTGCATATGCTCACGGGTCCCTCTATGGAATAATGACCAAGCAGGCCAAAGCCATCGGCACAGTTACCCGGATCAGCTCATTTTGCAGCTGTTGCACCCGGTCCTTCATCCTGCTCATCTCCACTGTCCCAGCAGCCAGTTTGTGCTTGAGGGCCACTGCAAGAGACCACAGAGCCCAGTCAGTGGCATGGGGGCATGTCTGAGGGATACAAACAGCTCCCAGGACTCCCAGGGAATAGGGGGCACAGCTATGGGGCAGGTCTATTCGCTAAGGCCAAAAGTGCCCAATCAGATTGTTAGGTCCACAAATTCAGATACAAATTAAACTGGATGGTAAGGACTGAGGAGCATCAGCCAAGAGGGAGAGTCCAGGAGGAGAGGGCTGGGATGGGGATAACAGGGACTGGTGGGCACTTGCACTGTGCCTTGCTTCTAGCCAAGGCTATTAACCTTTCACTTTCCCACTCCCTGTAATGCCACAGTCAGAAACATGCCCTACTCTTTCTCATGTCAGCCTCTTCCTTCCTTTGTTCCCCACTGGGCAATGCAGAGGTGGGGTGGGAGGTGCATACCTTACCTATCCTGTCAACTATCTCCACCTTGGTCATGACATCCACGTCCACATCGTTCAGCAGTGTGCGGCCCACTTCCTCGTGCATGCTCAGGTTGCAGCGCAAGGTGCTGTTCTCTGCCTCCAGGCTGGCAACATGCCTGCGCAGAGACTGGATATCATCTGCCATCTTCTTCATGGCCGTACGGTAATTATCTAGCTCCTGCTGGCCACAGGAGAGCACCTGTTACAGCTTGCACAACCTCAACTTAGAGATGAATGCTTAGCCAGGTCCTTTTTTCTTCCTTCCACCCATCCACTCCAAAGACCAAGGATGCTGGCCAAAGTTTCCTGCCACCTGGGACCAGACTGAGCAAGAGCCTGGGTGGGGATGGTGAACTGCAAATGACATGGATGAGCTGCAGAAAGTTTCCCACCCAATATTTATAGGACACAATCGCCATAGTTCCCAGGTGTTCAGGCATGCACCATAATGTACTGAACTTGTATAGCACTCTCCATCCATAAATCTCAAAGCACTTTAGGAGCCTGGGTAAAGATTACTGACCTCATGTTACAGATGGGGAAGAAGGGATGGGAAATGACTCACCAAAGGTCACTATGTTAGTGGCAGAGTTAAGACTACAGTCCAAATCTCTTGAGTCTTAGTCATCTGCCTTAACAACTAGACCACACTGTCCCTGCTTATCTGAGATTCTTGGAAATCTTGGAAAGCTGCTGTCAGACTAGGTTTACATCACCTCCTGCCTCTGTTGGGGCTGGAAAGACCATGGGAACACTGTCTTGTGCTATTTCAGCAGTCAGGCTTCTGATCACAGGTGGAATGGGGAAGTTTGGGGGTGAAACTTCTGGTCAGTTCTTGTATGGTTTCAGCAGCTCAGCTGGGTCAATTTTTCTTTCCTTGTTTTAAGCATTGTGTCCATCTAGTGCTGGAGGTAGGGGGCAGTGAGGGGGGCTAGATTGACAACTCCAGGGACCTGAATCCTATCTTTTTTGCTCAACAAAGTGACAAGCTTCCCCAACCCCACATGTGTGCCTCCATGCTGACCTTGAGGGATGACCTCTAGGGCTGAGAGGCGAGATCACGGCCCATGACCTAGGCTGTCCCTGACCTCTGTGCAGAGGCTGCCAACCAGAACGCCAGCTAGCATCAGGTATAACAACAGGCTTGTGATGTAGCACCTATCCACTAGGCCCTGGACTGAGGGCATCAAACCCATATCACCCAGGGGCCACCAGACAGCCAACTGCAGTCAAGAGAGCGACCCAGAGGCAACAGGCTCTGTATCTCATTAGCAGAGCCCAGAGTCAAGCAGTCTTCTTCCCATCTCTACTTCATAAGATCTTCTCATTTCACACCATCCCTCAGGTGGCCCCCATCCATATACTCCTCCCTTCCCATCTCAGGTGGCTGCCACCTTCCCGCATCTGCATCCTCTGTGGGGCCCCAGGCCTCCGGGGGGAGGAGGGGACTGGCCCCAGGCCTCCACAGGGGGCACAGGGGCTGGCTTGGGGAACAGGGGGGAACTCACTGCACTTCCCGCCACCGGTGAATGCAGGCCCAGCCCTGTTGCACTCCTCAGGGGAGTGGGGGCAGGGCTTGGGTGGAGTAGGGGTGGGGCGAGAAGAGGCAGGGTGGGGCAGAACAGGGGTGGGGGCTTTGGGGAAGGGGTGGAGTGGAGGCAGAGCAGGGGCGGGAAGAGGCAGGGCTCAGGCGGGGCCATAGGGAAGAGGCGGAGCAGGGGTGGAGTAGCACACAGCTGTGCAGCGCACCAGGAAATTTGGTGCCCCAAATTTCCTGGTTCCCTACGCAGCTGCGTACTTTGCGTATGGGTAAGGACGGCCCTGACTACCACCTTCCCACCAGTGTATCCTCCCATCCTGGGTGTCCACCACATGCCCCTATCCATATCCTCCTCCCTTCCCATCCATACAATGGCAGGTCTCAGTGGTCCCCTCATGGTGTATTCTGCACCCAAAACAGGCATCGCTGCTCTGTCTGTTAACTGACAAGGACTAACCAAGGAGCAGTTGACATAGGAGCTGCATTTCAAGATTTACCCTCTACCCATCTTCACCCCTTTCAGAAGGGCCCCTCTGCTTCCTCCATATGGCCTCTGGCAGACATTTGTGGCACTCCAGGCCTTAGTTCATCTGTCCCACATTAACCACTGAGTGATGGAACCAGCCCTGGGAACATGTCAGTTCTTTGACTCTGATTCTTAAAGCTCTCATCATGGCAGCAGTGATGTTCTCAGGGTAGAATTCCTCACCTAGAAGGTTACTGAAGAGACCTTGGAACAAGAATTACCACCCAGCTGCATTGGGCAGCAGCACACCACGTGCTCCCTCCTGGCTTCAGTCCCACTTAGCTCCACAACATCACTAGTCCTTCCTAGATCCATCTGTGCAGACCTGGGGAGAGGGCAGCAAATGGGACGAAACATCGCTCCAGCAATAGTGTAAAAAGGACCAAATGGCACTTTGTTAATCAGCTGACAATTCCTATCCAACATTCAGAGTTCTGAACACAGCACATCAGTTATACCTGGTTTGTCAATATCAGTCTCTCGTAACCAAGCCTGATTGGGCTGCTCTGATGAGCCAGGAGATTTACCACCCTATTCAACACACCCTATAGATATGTTATGTTCTTATGATTTGCCTCCCCCCAGGTAAAAAGGTCACATGCCAAAATAAGCCATGTTAAGGGATGCACAGCTCTCTTAGGGGGCCTCGTATTTTCATGGGGAGAAGGTTTCTGATTGGCTCTTTCATTTAGCAGCCAAAAGCATAACGAGATCCTATAGCTGGAAGCTGAAGTTGGACAAATTCAGATGAGAAATCAGATGCATTAAGAGTCATTAAGCACTGGAACAATATGCTGATGGATGTGGTGGACTGTCTGCCACTTCAAGTCTCTAAATCCAGGCGAAGTGTCTCTAAAAGATGCGCTCCAGCTCAAACACAGATTATTGGCTAAGCTTCCTGCGAATTTTTCGTTTAGACTTTTTTTTGTCAGAAAATGCCAATTTGTCAAAACCAGACCTTTTATGGAAATATATCAGTTTGGATTAAATTTTCATTGGGAAGGTGCCTCTGGTCTAGGATGGAATTTCTGGTCAAAATGAGGGTGGAAGTCATTCCAGACCAGCCAATAGCCCAGTGGTTAGGGCAGTCAGCAGCATATGGGTTAAGTCCCTATTCTACCTCATGCAGAGCAGGGATTTGATCCCAGCACTTTCTGTCCCAGGGCTGCTACTTTCACACACAGATCTCCATTTTGTTCCAATGCAGAATGAAAAAAAAATTGCAAACCTTGAAATTTTTCATGCATCCTTGTTTTCCAGCCAGTCCTAGTTACGGAGTTTGGTGCAGGACTCACTGGGGTAGGTTCCCTGGCCTATGCTATTCAGGAAGTCAGAGGAGATGATCATAATGGTCCCTTCTGGCCTTAAAACTTATTAATACTACTTCTAAAGGAGTGTGTGTGAACATTACAATCACCGTTTTAGAGGTGGAGAGACTGAGGCACCAAGGGATTAACCATGGCTTGCCCAAGATCAATGGCAGAACTAGGGACAGCATCTAAAAAGCCTGACGCCCAATCCATTGCTCTAACCACTAGACCACATCCCCTCCCCTTCCCCCCCGCATCTGCCTGCCCTATGTTCTAGGAATGAATTCCCTACATACCAATCCAACTAACAGTCAGTGAAGATCCTGAGAGAAGAATAAACCAGTGGAAAGGGAGCAGGGAATCATTACGGCAAAATGAGGGCATGGAAACAGACTGGATTTATTAACCCTCAATGCACTCTTTCCTGAGGGACTGGAGCTGAAGAGATCTCTCTCCCATTGGCATAACTCCAGCTAAGCCACTGGAGTTTCATACGGGCGAGAATAGCCTTTGGCCTGTTGTGTTTCTCTAAGAAGAGTCCCGCTGAGTGACCAGCTCTACCTCTCTCCCTGCAAGGCCCCCAGCCTGCTGTGCATGGAGGCACTCAGTAGAAGACAAACAGGGAGATGATAACGTTGCCATGGTTTGGAGTTAGCACCCAGGGGCAAGGGCAGACTCCAGAGCCCTATCTCAGGAATGGATGAAACAAAAACAACAGCCAGCTGCATTAGCCAAGAGCAGCGTGTGCTCTGGCCAAGGTTAGAGCTAGGAGAGCATTGGCTCAGGGAGTGCGGCCAAGGTCCACTTTCACAGCACACACAACTGCAGGCTGCAGTGAGGCAGAGATGTTGATTGCTGCCTGGCGTTCCAGATCTAACAGTGCTACCAAATATACAGAACATAGTTGCTGGGCCTCCCTGAGATTCAGCCAGGCCTAGGTATAGCACACTCCTGGGCTGTCAAGGCTCCCTTGGCAGATCACACCTGCCATGCTGTGTCCATGCATGCCCAGGACAATGTACCTGATCTGCTGATGAACATGCCAGCTGCGTAGCAGGTCTCTTATACATCCTCTTGGGAGCCAACACTCACTCCCATACACAAAATATGACTCCCGACTTCAAGGAGCATTGGGTGACTACCTTTCTGACTGGTGAGTGGTTTGAACTTGTAACCTAAGCAAGAGGCACCTCAGACTCCAGGCTAAATCCTCTGCTGCAGTACAAGTCAAGCAGCAGCACACTGCCCCCGAGACACCTACATTTAGTCTCAGCTCAGTGTAGCTTTTCAGGCACAACTCTTGGCTCTTCTGCCACCCTTCAGAGAGGCATCACACATGCAGCAGGGCACACAGGTTGTGGGAGAAAATGTAGCAGGAAAAACAAGGAAATAAAGCAATTTCAGATCCTTTCAAACATCCGCCTCAGAGGCAACACTATTCTGAGCAGAACTCCAATAGAATGGGAGCTAACAATGGGGTGATATGTACTCTGCACACTGGATAGCTTCTGAGACTGCAGTCGCTAGTAAAAGGGCAGTATCTGCTAAGGGTTCCCACTTTAAGTAGAAGGAAAGACTGTGGCCACTCTGATGCTGCTATGCTAGGAACATCTGGCAAATGCTGATTTGTCCCTCGAGCCCTGTGGATGGCTGGAGCTCTCATAATGGTTGAGGGGCGATTGCTTGACCATGAGCCACCAGAAATGGGAAAACCCTTGGAGTAAGTTACAATGAGTGGACAATGAAGTTTGAGCTATGGCCAGTATATCCCATTGTCATGCACTCTTGTTCCACAGTGCACGAGCTTTCTATTCTTAACATCAAATCTGGACGATATCAGCTACATACTGGCAGTGCTAAAGGGCATGCAGCAAAATCCTTCTCTCCTAATGGGAGGGGTAAGATCTCGCCCAGTGTAAACCATGAGTAACTCCATTAAGAATCAGGCCCCAGAGGTGTTCATTTTCACACAGAGAGAGAGAGAGAGAGAGCACGTGGATTGAGAAACAGACTCCCGAATCTCAGTTCTCTCTCTCATCCCCTGGCACGGCAACAGAAATACTGGTGGAGTGGTAAATAATCATAGGTGTTCATAGTTTCTAAGGCCATAAGGGACCACTGTGATGATCTAGTCTGCTCTCCTGTATAAGACAGACCAGAGAACTGCCCCAAAGTAATTCCTTATGAACTAGTTCATGTCTTTAAAGAACCCATCCAATCTTAAGTTGTTCTGGTGGTTAATTACCCTCACTGTTAAAAATTTACACCTGATTTCCAGTCTGAATTTGTCTAGCTTCAACTTCCAGCCAGGGATCGTTCAGTTATACAGATTAACCTGCATCACTTGGTAAGGGCTGCTCATTTGAACACCATATGTTTTAACACAGCCAAATACAAAGTCATACTTCTAGAAACAAAGATTGTAGGTCACATTTAGAAGATGGGTGACTGTATCCTGGAAAGTGGTGACTCTGAAAAGCATTTGGGGGAATGGTAGACAGTCTACTGAACATGAGCTCTCAGTGCAATGCTGTGGCTAAGAGGGCAAACATGATCCTTGGCTGTATAAGCAGGGACATATCAAGTAGGAGTATGGAGCTGGAATTACCTCTGTGTATTGCATTAGTGAGCCCATTATTAGAGACTGTGTCCAGTTCTGGTGTCCACACTTCAAAAAGTATGTTGAAAAATTGGAAAGGATTCAGAAGAGAGCTACAAGAAAGATTCAAGGTCTGGAAAACCTGCTATAGAATGAGAGCCTCAAGAAGCTCAATCTATTTAGTTTATCCAAGAGAAGGTTAACAGATGACTTGAGCACAGTCTACCTCCATAGGGAATAGATTTCTGATAGTAGACGGCTTTTAACTTAGCAGAAAAAGACATAATGAGATCCAATGGTTGGAAGCTAAAGCGAGACAAATTCAGACTAAGGTGCGCTTTTTTAACAGTGAGGGTAATTAACTATGTGGGGGATTCTCCATCACTTGCAGTCTTTAAAGCAAGACTGGATCTCTTTCTAAGAGAGATGCTATAGCTCCAACTGAAGTCATGGGTTTGATGCAGAAATTACTGCGTGAGGCTTTGTGGCCTATGTTATGCAGGAAGTCAGAGTCTATTATCATAATGACTTTAAATTCTATGAAGCTATAACCTTGGCAGGCCATTATATTTGCTCCAGTTAAATAGTTTGTGGTACTGATGGAATCAGGTGAGAAGACAACAGGTTGTGCCAGACATACAAGCAGCTGCCTTTACAGGAGAAAGCAGTCATGTCTGATTTAAAAGGGGGTCAGCCCCTCCAACAGCTGCCACAGCTGTATTGCTCGGGGCCTTGGGCAGAGACGGCCATGACAGAGCTGTCTGTGTGCCAGTACTGCTGACCTCGGCAGCTCTCAGCCTTGGCGCTGGCCTTCGGGAGAGTTGTGCATGGCTCAGAGCCTTGAGGAGGTCTGTTTGTTTTTAAACAGGGGAGACTATCAGCTGGAAATTGCACGAGTCCATTTCTCCACTTCAGTGGGGCGCCAGCCTTACTGGTGTGCGTCATGCACTGTAGCCGATTAGCACCCAGTCAGACAAATTAGTCACTCTGGGACCCATGTGCCAAAGGGGCCCCAATATTGCAACCCCCACCCTGCCACACAAGCTGTCCTTCCAGGACATCCCTTATCGGAAAGCCATATAGAATTTAATAGGGATGAAACCTATGGGATCCTGATAAATTCTGTAGGGTTTGGGAGTCATGTTTAACAGAGAGTGAGAGCCTTTTCACAAGGTTTCTAAACCATCTTCTGTAGATGGCACAGATTTCCCTATTGCACCCAGTAGGATAGTTACACAATCAACAAGAGAAGACCTTCTGGCAGGGGCAGGGAGTACTTCATACCATTCTGAACCCAAGAGAGGTGGCCCAAGAGCAGCTCTGATGAGTCCCCTCCTTGGCTTGAAAGCTGGGTCAGGCCAGCCTGTTGTTAAGGTCAACAATTTTGGTGGGGCCTGTAATTTCTCTTGGTCCTACATGAGCTCCCCATGCTGTGATGCTATGGAAGGAGCCTGACAGAGTCCTGAAGTGCTGGAGCCTGCTGCTGGCACGTTGCCATGTGAACTGTGCTGTCTGGGATGCTAGGGAAGCTGCCCCATCTGAAACCTTCACCCAGAAGAGTTCTGCGGTTAGATTGACAGGCATTCACAGAACGGGTTTGCTCTGCTATCTCCTCTCATTTTTGCTGGCTGGCAATATGGTTCACTGGACTGAGCATGACACTAGAAGTCAGGAACCCCTAATCTCTGACCTGACTCCGGATAGGTTGCTCTATGTAACACAGACTTTGCTTGCTGATGGTCCATGGGAAATCCCAGCCTGGAGTTTGGTGCCACCTGGGACTAGCCTGTATCTAATTACCCCCTGTCCAATGTACTGTTGCTCATTGCAAGGAAATACAGAAACACATCCTGGTTACCTTTCTCTCTCTGACTATTCCCTTTCCATGTTTGTATCTCACTCTCACACTCCAGCTGCCCCAATTTTTTCCCAGAATTTTGTTCTGTGGGAAGTTTCAATTCTTTTTTTTTTGTACCACTACAAAAGGATTTTCTTTTGAAAGTGTGAAACAATTTAAACAAAATCAAATCCCTGCTCAAATCAAATCCTTTCATGATCAATTCTGCATAATGCTCCGGCACTTCCTATTCTTTTCTGTAGATGGCAGCATTTCATTGCAAATACTAAGATGGCCAGCCGGCTGGGATGTCTCACTATTTGCTCTTGCTTCTCCTGCTCTCTGTAGGTTGCTGGTATCTAGGTGGGAGGCCCTGTGCGTGTCACACACAGAGTTAGCTGCAGGTCTGATTCAAACCCTGTTAAAATCAATGGAAAGACCCTCACTGACTTCAGTTGGCTATGGATCAAGCCTGAATGGAAAATCCAGGTCCTCATTGTACCTACACAATGACGCTGCCAAGCTATTTATCTGTATGTGATCAATGGAATGGATCTTGTTCCCATGGCTATCCTGGGAAGTTACAAGCCACACACTTCATTTAGCCCTTCCTCCAACAGACAGGCTGCAGAGCCAGAACACAGAATGGTGCACTACAGCTGGATAAATCCTTGGGGGTTTGGTTTGCAGCTCACTCGAGAACATGATGAAACAGTCAACACCCATTGATTAACAACAGGTCTCCACCTACCCATGCTGCTTACTTCCCACCCACCTGGCGCTGCTTAAGCCCAGCAGGCTCCACAGAGTGTTACAACCATTGCCCACTGAGCACCATGTTGTCCTCTCGCTCATTTCCCTCCCTGCCTCACATCCCATCCCTTTCCTGTCTGGCCAATGTTAGCTGGCAGACCTGAAGTACCCAGTTACCCACATTTCTAGCCTGCTTTGTCCATTGCCCTCCTGGTTCCTTACCATCATGTCTCCTCTAGGAGTGAAAACTAGCAGCCCCATTTACTCACCTGATCCAGATGGAACCTGGTGACATCCTGGGTTCTGCAGAACAGAAAGCAAAGGGTCAGGGATGGGAGCCAGGCACCCTACAAGCCCATCAGAGCAAGAAATAACTAGTGAAGCCCCTTCCCCTTGTCCCTCCCTGCCTGAGAGAGGAAGCAGGTAGGTCTCAAGCCATTTTGGGCACCATCAAACCAACCCAACACGTCAAACTGCCTGGGAGCCAGTGCAGATGGTGACATGCCCCTGCTCTGAGCCACTGCTAGTCTGGCAGGCAGCCAGTAGCCCACTGCACTAATCCAGGGCCTAATCCAATGCCTATCAGAGTCAATGACTGTTGACTTCAATGGACCTTGGATCAGGTCCCAGTTTGAATCTTACAGGGCCTGGATGACAGTGGAGATGTCCCTAGGTTCTTGCCAAAGGTAGATGGTAAAAAAAAAACCAAACTGGGCCACCACAGCTAACTGAGCATCCAGGAGCAGCCCCAAGTCACTAGCCAGTACAAGGAGAAACAGGTGTACTCCCCATTAAGGAATGTCATTTCTTCTGGTGGCTTGCCCCAGTCTCCAGGCATCAGCTCTGTGCTGTCAAGGTGGGGTCTCAACCAGCTCGCTCCTGCCCAAGGCCCTGGGGAAGCCTGTGCCAACTGTACTGGGCGAGATGGAAACCCAATGCTGGAGGAGGGCTTTCTAGAAGACAGGCAAGCTGGCAGTTGGGCAGGCAGGATAAAGGTGCTGTGAGAGGGGTGCAGGTGTGTGTGTGGGGGGGATTGGGCCTTTTGCCTTGCAGGGGATGTTGGGTCCTTAAATCTCACCTGTCTTTTGTCTCCTCATATCCTCTAGCTCTTTCCCCTACCATGGACTAACCTGTCCAGCTCACCTTCTACTGAACTAGGCCCTGCTGCTGAATGGGATGCTGGGTCCCACTGCAATGCATTATGGGCAGAGCTCTGTGGTGTGAAGTGATTCCTAATGCACTGTGAAGTTCCACCAGGCCAGCAGCTGGCCAGGCTGGCTCCAGGAAGACCCAGCTCAGAAGTGGGCAGACTATGCCCAATGAGACCGAGACGCCTTGGAGGAGGAGAGGAGAGGGCTGAGCAGAAGACGGTGAGAGGTGGTTTGACTTTACCTGGCTGGGCCTGAGAGTCAGCTGGGAGGCTGGAAGTTCCCCAGAAAAACCAGTCAAAGCTCAGTGAGCTGGGATGTGTGGGCCCCATGCTAATGCTGCGCCCTTGCACCATTGGGGCCAGGGTGCAATCTCACTTGTGGCCCTAGTGAAGTGAGTCTGCTAGAGACTTCCAGCCAGCCCTTGGGATGCACTAGGAAGCCACTAGGAAGCCTGGCCCAATTCAACATGATTCAGTGGTGAGACATATCAGGATGGAAGGTCATTGGCCCAAGTGTGTGGGGCACAGGACTGCAGGATGGGTGCAGGGAGGGGGTCACAGGGAAGGTTGCCCACCATTCCACACAGTGTTGTTGTCTCCAGTCAGGACTGTCATTCTCTTACTAGCATGGGCAAAATATTCACAAAAAGAAAGTGCTGGGGGTTAGGAGGGAACTTCTGATATGAGCAGGTTATTCCCTAGCTTCCCAAGGCAGAGATCTCACACCTGCCTCTGAAGCCATGACAGAGACAGGATACTGGGCTAGATGGACCTTGGGGTTGGTTCAATCAGCCAATCCCTATGTTCTTAAAATGTCACTAGCAATGGACTATCCGGACCCCAATGGGAGGCAGGAAGAAGAAGCTGGTGCAGGAGGAACCAGGGGAGGTGGCTAAGGACACATCTACCAGAGACAAAGAGATTTCCAGCCCAAGCTGGAACACTGCTCCCCATACCTTCTGAGCATGTCCACATCATCCACGTCACCGTCTGCTGGGGTGGCTGCCTTTTCATATAGGAGCATCTGCTTATCTGGCAGAATCTCAGCTACAGCCTCAGGGGGCGGGAGGGAGACGTCATTATCTTGGTTAAGCTGCAAGAGGGAGTTTAGAAGGTCACCATGGATGGAACAAAACGTACAGAAGTGGGGCCGGTGCCATGCAGAACACCTCGGATGAGGGAACTGGGGCCAGATCCTCAGCTGATGTAAATTGACATAGTTCTGCTGACTTCTGTGATGCTGATTTCCAGATCTGGTCTCTAATACAGAAGCCAGCCTGATACCATATCAGAAGCTCTCCTATATCCTTCCTCTCCTTCTCTCTTTACTTAGGGCACTTGTCTGAAGAGATGCTCTGTGTTTCCTAAGAGATCATCTGGTCTGGCTGTTTACTTGGCCCTGTTTGGTCTTTCCTATGCTTCATCTTTCAGAGGAGATGAACAGCACAGCCCAGGACCACTTGGGGTCATTGAAGATCACAAAAGGCACTTTTCCATTGGTATGAAATTTCTGGTGGTATGGAACAATTCCAGAGGGTTAGTTACATTCAGTCTCTCTCAAGCCTCCTGATGTTTCAGCCTAATCATTAATTCTCAGGCAGCCTTGACATTTCAGTGCAAATTTGGAGCATTTGCCAGGATGGTCAGCATTGTGGTAAAAGCACTGGACTGGGTTCAAGAAAGCTCGGTCTAATGCGTGACCTTGGGCATGTCATGTCTGCTCTCTGTGCAGAAGGTCCAGACAGGGCCATCCCTAGGGGGGTGCAGGGCCCGGGACAAATCAGCCTCCCTACTAATCTCCTCGCCCTCTGCCCAGCACAGCCACCCGGCTGCCCCTCGCCTCCTCACCCCGATTTGCCCTACCCAAGGGATGACTGTGGGTCCAGCTATAGAACAGGGCTCCTAGCTCCCTGCTGCATTGTGAGGGACTCAGCTACTAGAGTGATGGGGCCACCTAAGAACGGAGATAAACTGTTTCACCCACTTATTAATGTAGCGGGTATGTTTGGTGAACACACATGAATCTGTATTATTGAAATATGACCATTTATATGATTAACAGTACCACTATTAGACAATTGAAACAAATCTTGTACAAAGTATGCCATGTAAAGTATTAATGGAAAAGATTCAGTCTATCAAATACGATTATCCTGTTTATATGCATGTATCATCTTTGTATCTAAAGTTATAAATATTGATTATGTACCAGTATTTCATATGTTTGCTTCTGGGGTAACACTCACAAGGTAGTTTACATCCAGTCTAGTCAGCACATTGCACATGGACCATTCAAGTAGATGGCCCATTAAAGGACAAAATGGGCCACAGAAGAAGCTTGTCCCTGCCCAGTGAGTTGTGGATGCTTTAGCCAAAATATGGCTAATGCCCTTGTATTCTTTGATAACTCATAGGAGCAGCCATGTGACCCTGGACTCCATCTTGTGCCTGTACTTTTCCACAAACTAAGACTGAGAGCAGGCCTTCCACCTGGGAGAAGATATAAAGGACCCTAGAAGCATCTTCATTTTGCCTCTTTCCTGCTCTGATCTCTGGACTGTAGACTTACACTAAAAGGAGCATTCCAATCAATGAACTGAGGACTTTATAAGCCAGCAGTTTATTCCGTCACTGCTTCAAACCTGATTTAAGAACTCTGCAAGGATTATATGTATTTGATTTCCTTAACCATTTTAACTCTCTCCTCTTTCTTTTCTCTTATAAATAAACCTTTATATATTAGATACTAAAGGATTGGCAACAGCGTGATTATTAGGTAAGAACTGAGCTATATATTGACCTTGCTGTGTGGCTGATCTCTTGGGATTAGAAGGACCCTGTAGACGTCCAGACTCACCCCTGCAGCGCCTCCTGCTGGTCATCCAGGGAATTAGCTCACCAGCCTCTGGAGCACCCTCTGCAGGCCGATGATCCGACTTGTCGTTCTCTGGCGCCCGTGTCCCTCCCAGGACCCGGTGCCCCTATTACTGGGATGCTGCCCCCCAGCAGTACCCCACAGATCTGGGTCTCCCCTCCCTGGGGAACCCCCACCCACTGTCCCCACCTTGCCTCAGCACTAGGCCACTGCCAGTCACCAACTAGCCCCCGCTCACTGGGGCAGACTGCAGTATAGGCCACTCATCACTGGCAAGGGGGGTTTGGACCTGCTGCCTTGGACTCGACCTGGGCTGCCCTCTGCAACCCCCAGTACCCCTTAGCCTAATACTAGGTCACAGCCTGGGGCTTTCCAGGCTGGCGCTCCCCATCCTTTCCCTAACCCTGCTCCACTACAGGTACCCTGTGTCTAGCTCCCTACAGCCAGACCCTTCTCTCCCTGAACACAGAGAGAGACTCTTTGGACTCCTGGATCCCAGCCTCTTTATACTGGCCATCTGGGCTCTGATTAGGGTGTGGCCCAGCTGCAGCCACTTCCCCCAATCAGCCAGGGTTTTACCTTGCCCAGCCCCAGCCCTCTGCAAGGTTTTTCCAACCTCTCAGGGCAGGAGCGGGTGTCCCCCCTGCTACAGACCCTTTGTCTCATGAAATTGGTTTTCAATAAAAACTCATCCTTAGAGGTTTTTAAGGCCCAGCTTGACAAAGCCCTGGCTGGGATGATTTAGTTGGGGTTGGTCCTGCTTTGAGCAGGGGGTTGGACTAGATGGCCTCCTGAGGTCCCTTCCAACCCTGATATTCTATGATTCATCATAAAGTCTAGTGTCTGGATGGTGAAATGAGTGCTGGAATGCCTAAGGAGACTGCATTTCTGACTTCTAGTTAACCGATGTGGTAAGACAGAAGTTTACTTTTGTTTCAGGGTTGGTCTATCTAATAATAGAATAATCACTAATTTTGGGTAAGTCTGCCCTATTTCTCAGCAGTTTGTCCTGAATCTCGTATCCTCAACTGTGACCCACTGAGGCACGGTGACAACACAGTCTTTTGCATCTGTTCACTCCATCAAAATGGAACCTGCTCAGTTTGCATTGCATATCTCATGTAAATGAGTGATTTACATCTGATTTGTTGGTGCCTAATTATCAGGGACAAATCCTACTTCAGTAAACACCACACATTGCTGAACTAATCAAACAGAGGTGACACCATGCAAACAAAGTTCTCTCCTGGCAATTTTTAAAGCATTGATTTTCTTAACTCAAGTGACAGAAATCCAGTGCAACCCCAAATATTGCTAATTCATTTTTCCCATGTTCTCTGTAACCCAAAGCAGGGCCATGTTTCCCAGCTGCTAGTCATTAACTCCGCTATCCACAATGATTTGCTCCCCATCACGACACTCTGGTGCCCAGGGCCGTAAAAGCATATTGGTTATATCTGACACTGCATCTGATCATGTTGCACCACTTCTGATGGAAAGATATCTTGACACATGAGCTTTCAAAATGCAACGCTCACAAAAAACACGCTCCGCGCTGCAGCATGGGCAGCAGTCTACCCGTGGCTGCAGAGTTCTGGCCAGGAGCTACAGAAGCACTGACACTAGCTAGCACTAGTCAGCCTGAGAACTAGAGACCAGAGAGGATCCCAGGGTCTGTCTGTGTCCAGCAGGCTCAGCAAACAATCCTCTTGCTCCTCATTACAGTTGAGCCCTGTCTCCTCGCAGCTGTGAGGGGCCCTACAATGGCAGGAGCTAACTGCCCCCTTTGCTAGCAGCAAAGCTAAGGACGTCATGGGGATGGGGGTCTCCTGTTCTGAAATGGTCTCTCCAGATTAGGGCTGCCAGGTGATTGCATGGCGCAGAAGAGGTTAGTGCGCACCGCCTGAGCTGTGTCTGTCCTGTTGCTAATGAGAAGAGTGCACTTCCAGAGCTGTCAGTCTGGCACCCTTTGCCAGCACTTAATTTAATGTGAGAGACAAAGAGAGATGGTTCATGGTCCCCTACCCCCATTTGCAGCCCTGGATACTCACGGTTGAGGAGAACGGCCTGTAGTACCAAGCCATCCACCACCTGTACCTGGCCCCTATCCTGCTAGCTCATTCCAAGACGTCTCTCCTAGACTGCTGCTGCTGCTCCTGGACAGACTCTGGGCTCCAGAGATAACTGGTGTCACCCTTCACTGGAAGGCCAGCCTTTCGTGATAAACAATTCGTTGCCAGGTGTCTGCCACTTCAAACAGCAACACGCACAGAACTATGCAAACTCCAGAGCTGAAAGGCAAATCAGCCATCCCATTCTCTGCTGTCCTGGCCACAGGGGGCTCGGACATACACTCCACCAAGGCTGCAAGCTGCCTAGGAAAAGGCAGTAGGACACCAAACTTACAGAGGAGCTGGTAGCCTGCAGCATGAGGGGAGCCAGGCGTCTTTGAGGAACTTTTTACTAGCAAGAGAGGGGTTAGGTTTAAGCAGGCACCACCTGCTTCCTTTGTGCATTCACAGCTCACACTGTGCTGCTGTTGCTACAACAAGAAGGTTCCTCTTAGCAACCGCACAGGAAAGGCTCCCTTTGAACTCCAGCTTCACTGCACAAAGTGTGCAGCCCACAGATTTTCTCACTGCCATAACAGATATGTAGAAGGGAAAGAGAAAGGTGAGCCGCTCTGATGGAGAGCCAAGGGCCTAAGGTCAGCTATGCAAATCCAGGTTTTGATACCTTCCTGATTAGCTGAGGTTAGGGTGACCAGATTACCAGTATAATATATCGGGACGGGGGCGGAGCCAAAAAGGGGGGCGGAGCAAAAAAAAAAGAGTTTTAAGGGGCCTGGGGCATTAGCAATGAATGGACCAATCAGTTGTAGATCAGAAGAATGGACCAATCAGCTGCAGATGCAGGGGAGGGACCAATCAGGAAGTGGACCAATCTGGGCTCTTTCTGAGCTGCAGCTTGTCTGCTTTACTAAAACCAGGATATTTGCTGTTATTATTTGAAAACCCCACTGGGACAGAGAAAGCAGGCTCCAAAAAGAGGCTCTGTCCAGGGAAACCTGGACGTATGGTAACCCTGTTCAGAGGGAATGAACAGAACAGGCAATCATCAAGTGACCCATCCCCTGTTGTCCACTCCCAGCTTCTGGCAAACAGAGGCTAGGGACACCCAGAGCATGGGATTGCTAATAGTCATTGATGGACCTATCC